TGGTTGGTGAGGCTTGTCCGGGGGGGGAGGTCTGGGCTTCAGGCTGACACACCAGTCTGAGAGACTTCTCCATGAGAAGGAGTTTGAGTTGCAAGTCTCTAGCCTTTCTTGTTCGGGTAGTTAATTTGAGAAAATGAGGACACTTCTGTGTAATGTGTGTTTTGCCTAGGTGGCGCACACACTGAGCATGTCCGTCCGAAACAGGTATCAAGAGTCTGCAAGTGAGGCAACTTTTAAAGCCCAGGAAACCGGGCATTCCCGTCAGGGAAGGCGTTGCCCTCATGGAGGCTGTCTATCCTAAAGGGCTAAATGAAAACTAACTTTGAACTGTAAGACTTTTTTTTTTTTTTTTTTTTTTTTTTTTTAAAAGAGGCGACCAAGTACAAAGAAAAACAAATCAACTATCTAAACCAGGGGTCGGCAACCTTTCAGAAGTAGTGTGCCGAATCTTCATTTAATCACTCTAATTTAGGGTTCCCCGTGCCAGTAATACATTTTAATGTTTTTAGAAGGTCTCTTTCTATAAGTCTATAATATATAACTAAACTATTGTTGTATGTAAAGTAAATAAGGTTTTTAAAATGTTTAAGAAGCTTGATTTAAAATTAAATTAAAATGCAGAGCCCCCCGGACCGGTGGCCAGGACCCGGGCAGCGTGAGTGCCACTGAAAATCAGCTCGCGTGCCGCCTTCGGCACGCGTGCCATAGGTTGCCTACCCCTGATCTAAACTAATAACAGTAGTAAATGAGCTAAAGAACTAAGTAGTGAGGCGCTTCTAAGTGCTCCGACTCATAGCCAAGGATGGTAGAGAAGGAACTGGGGGTGGGGGAGAAGGTTGGTCGCACAGCACTAGTTAACCGCCTGAGGCGGCACGAGACGGGGACCACGTCTGTGTGATGTAACTGGACACTGCTACCAAAAGTCTCCAATTATGAGCACAGGAGCGCACAAAGACCTAATGTGGAGTTCCCACAGGGACAGCACTCAAAGAAGAACATAAAAATATAAACACTTAGTGGGATTAATTTCAGAAACAAGCCTGTATGTTAAAAGGTAATTTTTCACCATTTTTTAGGAATGAAACATTTTCTCACCAACATTGTAACAAGTAACAAAGTAGATGCAAGTCTGACAGATACACAACTGAAACAGTTACACTCAAGCTCTGACTATACTAGCAACTAAGCTATTTTCAACTGCGAGTTCAAAATGACCCAATGCTAACAGTAGTTGCCAGTAATTTATCAGTTATCTAGTGCAGGGGTTCTCAACCTTTTTCTCTCTGAGGCCCACCTCGACATGCTATAAAAACTCCAGGGCCCAGCGGGGGCAGGGGGACCCCAGGGCAGGGCCTCGGGCATAGGCATAGTTTGACTTCCATTGGGGGGGAGATAGCAGGGCTAGATCCACCTCCACGTGGCGGGGTCCAGGGAAGGAGTGCCACCTCCACCCCCTGACTCACCTCAGCAGGCCACCAAGCCTATCTGGGTTGGAGAGGGGCACACAATCAAAAATTATAACTCAAAGGTGGGGAGCTTAGCGCAAAAAGTTTGAAAACAGCTTAGAGTTCAGGGAGGGGGTTGCTAGGGGCTGTGTGAGGGCAGGAGGTAGCTCAGGGTGGAAGTAGGGAGTCGCTGGGGGCTGTGTGCAGATGGGGGTAGCTCACCTTGCAGGGAGGGGGTAGCTGGGGCTGTGTGTGGGCAGGGGGATAGATCAGGGAGCAGGGAGAGGGTACTAGGGCCTCTGTGTGGGTGGGGGTACCTCAGGGTGCAGGGAGGGCATAGCTTAGGGTGTAGGGAGAGTGGTATTAGGGGCTGTGTGCTGGGAGGACTCCCCTGTGGTCCCTGTTCCCAGAGGGGTCTGCCAGCCACAGAGCCAGGTCTCCCCACCCAGGGAGCTACTACTGGCTACCTCTGCAGGAGCCAAGGGGGCAGGGAGCTGAGGAGCAGCTTCAACCTGGGGCACCAGCAGAAGAGGAAGGAATGCTGCCGCTGCCTCTGCCATGGCAACAGCCAGAGCAGCAGCTGCCCCACACTGCCTGGCTCCAGCTTCAGCTTCCCACTTCTGACCTTGCCAGAGGGCGGGGGGAAAGGTGTGGAGTTGCCCCTGGGACTGCCGTGCTCTTGCGCTACAGTTGGGGGGGAAGGCAATGCCCTCCATGTCCCCAATTCTGCCCATGTGCTCAGGGCTTCTGCCCCACAGGGAGCACCAGGGCTCTGGGCTTCAGCTCCGTGGGGGGCACCGGGGATCGGGGCTTCAGCCGCGGGGCCCCGCGGCCCTCTTCAAAGGGCTTGCGGCCCCCCTGGGGGCCACGGACACCCAGTAAAGAACCGCTAATCTAATGTAGACAGGACTTCAGGATACACACTTGCCAGGGTACCGAAGAGCAGTTCTGTCAGCTTTCAGAGGGACCAGGCCAATGATTTTGAAGATGTGACAGAAGATATTCTGAGAACAACTCAACAGATAAGAGTTTTCCCTTTTAGTAGCCAACAAAGATGTACAATCTAATTTAAATATCAGTCTCATCCTAGTTGTTGATATTGCAATTATAAAATTTCCAAAACATTCTAGACAAATATCTAAGAAAAATAACCATAGATGAAGTGAATATCAATTTCATGTCACTGCCACAAAAACTTACATTATCTAATAAGCAATGTCAACTGTTAATAAGTTACCTTCTAGGATGCTAGAATATGATATACAACACCATCCAAGCTCAATAATCATCACTATTTCCCTGTTTCATTTCCTTTTGATGGTGAAAATACTAAATATAGATGTACTCTAAAAAGTCTTAAACTATCGACCAGAACTACGCATATGGGAGAAGTGAATCAGAGAAAAATATCAGTTGTGGGAGCCAAAAGTTACTTCAATTATGACAAATTTAATAGAGCCTACCAATAATAGCCTATTTTTATTAATTGTGTTGTATTCCCTCCCTCTCCTGCCATCTTCTCCTATATAGAATCATAGAATCGTAGAACTGGAAGGACCTTGAGAGGTCATCTAGTCCAGTCCTCTGCACTCATGGCAGGACTAAATATTATCTAGACCATTCCTGACAGGTGTTTGTCTAACCTGCTCTTAAAAGTCTCCAATTATGGGAATTCCACAACCTCCTTACGCAATTTATTCCAGTGCTTAACCAGTCCCTGACAGTTAGGAAGTTTTTCCTAATGTCCAACCTAAACCACCCCTGTTGCAATTTAAGTCCATTGCTTCTTGTCCTATCCTCAGAAGTGAAAGAGAAATGTTTTTCTCCCTCCTCCTTGTAACAACCTTTTATGTACTTGAAAACTGTTGTCCCCTCTCAGTCTTCTCTTCTCCAGACTAAATAAACCCAATTTTTTCAGTCTTCCCTCACAGGTCATGTTTTCTAGACCTTTAATTATTTTTGTTGCTCTTCTCTGGACCTTCTCGAATTTGTCCACATCTTTCCTGAAATGTGGCACCCAGAACTGGACACAATACTCCAGCTGAGGCCTAATCAGCGCGGAGTAGAGTGGAAGAATGACTTATCGTCTCTTATTACAACATTCCTCCTTATACATCCCAGAATTATGTTTGCTTTTTTTTTCTTGCAACAGTGTTCCACTGTTGACTTGTACTTATCTTGTAATCCACTCTGATCCCTAGATCCCTTTCTGCAGTACTCCCTCCCAGGCAGTCATTTCTTATTTTGTATGTATGCAACTGACTTTGCATTTGTCCTTATTGAATTTCATCCTATTTACTTCGGACCATTTCTCCAGTTTGTCCAGATCATTTTGAATGTTAATGCTATCCTCCAAAGCACTTGCAACCCTTCCCAACTTGGTATCATCCGCAAACTTTATAAGTGTACTCTCTATGCCATTATTTAAATCACTGAAGGTATTGAACAGAACCAGACCCAGAACTGATCCCTGTGAGACCCCACTCGATATGCCCTTCCTGCTTGACTGTGAACCATTGATGATTACTCTCTGGGAATGGTTTTCCAACCAGGTATGCACCCACCTTATAGTAGCTCCATCTAGGTGTATTTTCCTAATTTGTTTCAGAAGGTCATCCAAGACAGTATCAAAAGCCTTACTAAAGTCAAGATCTACCACATCTACCTCTTCCCCGCTATTCACAAGGCTTGTTTCCCTGTCAAAGAAAGCTATTAGGTTGGTTTGACAGAATTTATTCTTGACAAATCCATGCTGACTGTTACTTTTCACCTTATTATCTTCTAGGTGTTTGAAATTGATTGCTTAATTACTTACTCCACTATCTTTCCAGGTACTTAAATTAAGCTGACTGGTCTGTAATTCCCCAGTTTGTCCTTATTTCCTTTTTTATAGATTGGCACTATATTTGCCCTTTTTCAGTCCTCAGGAATCTCTCCAGTCTTCCATGACTTTTCAAAGATGATGGCTAATGGCTCAAATATCTCTTCAATCAGCTCCTTGAGTATTCTAGGATTATTCATCAGGCCCTGGTGACTTGAAGACATCTAACTTGTCTAAGTAATTTTTAACTTGTTCTTTCCCTGTTTTAGCCTCTGATCCTACCTTATTTTCACTGGTATTCACTATGTTTAACATTGAATCGCTACTAACTTTTTTGGTGAAAACTGAAACAAAAAAGTCATAAAACACTTCTGTCATTTCCACATTTTCAGTTATTGTTTTCCCCCCTCACGGAGTAACAGGCCTAGCCTGAAATGTAGGGCTGAAAGGGACCTTGAGATATCACCCAGTTCAGCCCCCTGTGCTGTGGCATAACCAAGTAAACCTAGATCATCCCTGACAGGTGTTTGTCTAACCTGTTTTTAAAAACTTTCAATGATGGGGATTCCATAGCCTCCTTTGGAAGCCTACTCCAGAGCTTAACTACCCTTACAATTAGAAAGCTTTTCCTAACATGTAACCTAAATCTCCCTTTCTGCAGATCAAGCCATTACTTTTTGTCCTAACTTCACACCCCAGAATATCAGCCTTTATCGCAGCCAACAATTACTTACCAGTACCGGAACTTTGAACCCAAAGTAAAATAATGTGCAAAAAAGTTCTTCTGAGGTGGCAGAGGTCTGTCCAATCGGAAGAATGTGTGATGCTCAACACAAGCTTTCCACAAATTCTTACATGCTCGGTAATTCACCATATTGAATCCCAGTAACATTTCTCTAGATTCATGCTAAAAAAGAAAAGTATAATTTGATTTTAGAAAAATTATAATGCTTCTCTACTATGTTTAGGAAATGTATTTAAGATTATTATTGTTCATTGATAACACTTATATTTTCCAAAACAGTACAAAGCATTCTATTTCAGAATATGTTTGAAGTGCCAATCTAACCACTCCCAAGTTTACACATTTTAAAGCCCTTCTATGAATAACTCCAACAGTGTGTGTGTTTTATGTTAATTTTACTAGTTAAATGTTATATCCACTTTTTCTCTTTAATGATCCTGCTCTCAGTTCAGCAACAGGGTCTCCCCAGGTGTCTAGTGAGCCTGAAGGAATTCTCAGATGGGGAGAGGATGTTGCTGCTAATAGACCATCTCCCAGCTATTATGCTCAGGTGCTGTGACAGAGGAAAGAAATCCCCAAAACCTTGCCTCCCTGTTCCAAGACTCCAACAAGGGTGAGGAAGAGAGTAAGCCTTAGCCCTAATGGTTTAGAGGAGGAGAGGAAGTAAGCTGGCAGGCATGCACACAGGAGAGTTAAAGGATGGGAAGACCGTACAGCCATTGTTGATAAACTCAAGGACAGCTGAAATATTCAACTCTGTGTAATTAATACCTTTATTGTGCTTACTAGTAGAAAGAGCAGAGCAAGGGTAGTAGGTGCTGGAAAAGCTGGCAATTGAGAGAGTTTGTTACTAGCCATGGTAGTTAACAAGATATACCCAATGCTAACTTGGCTCTCTCTCTCAAGCAGAAGGTTGGGTTTAGTACATTTCACCTGCCTTTGTTTACTAGTTGCAGCATCCTCCTTCAAAGACACTTGCTTGCTGGCTAGTTCTCCCTCCAAGCAACTGAGACTCATCCCTCCTTTATCCTTCTTGGAATATTGGAAAAGTTTCATCATGCAGAGGGAAATTAGTGTATGGGACAGAACCAGCAAGGGGCCTAACAGTATGTAGTACTCACTGAAGTCCCGCATGTGGAGAGCTTGCACAATTGGGCCCCAGGGCTGCAAGTGTAAACATTTTCAAAAGAAGCTAGAGGAAAGAAACCATTCCATAGTATGAACTAACTGCATAAGTGGACAGACTTTGTAGGGTTCATGACAACCAATTTCATCCATGAACATCCTATGCACAAGTCAAAGTATACTTTGAAACTATCTCAAAATATCTGAAGTAGAATTTGTAATGATTGGAGTTTTAACAGAGAAAATACATTACCTGCTCAGTCATCACAACTTGGTTACAATTAATTATTTAAACAAAGATAAAGGGCTTGTCTACATAGCATGGCAAGCACTCCAGAGGGGAGTGATTTATACAGAACACTAACATGTTGCGCTCTAACTGCCCTGTGTAGATCCTGCTGGGGCATTCTAAAAGGTACCATAGGATTATAGGCAGGTCTACGCTACTGCTTAAGTCGATCTAATTTACGTCGCTCACAGGTGTGAAAAAGACATCCCCCAAGCGACCAAATTATAGCAACTTACGCGCAGTCTACACAACCGTTATGTCAGCGGGAGACGCTCTACCACCAACATAGCTTCCACCTCTCTCAGAGGCGCAGTAATTATACTGATGGGAGAGCACTCTCCTGATGCCATAGAGCAACTTCACCAGACACGCTGCTGCAGCTGTGCCGATGTAGCGCTTCTAGTGTAGCCCTGCCCTGTGTAAAAGAGAACTAGGTAACTTTTAGAGTGTGTCAGAAGGGTCTACATGGGGCAGTCAGAGCACAGCACATTAGAACATTTTACAAATAACACTCCTTTAGTGGGCTTTGCCAGCACCATGTAGACCTAAAACCCATAATGTGTTAAAAGCAGGTGAACTATTCTTTACTTATGCTGACACCTCACGGCACTGCCAAATTAGAGAATAAACCTCTCTCAAGTAATTAACGGATGATGTACTAGTCTTTTTGAGGACTGCTGTCATTAAAACCTTTAATATTTAAAAGTATTTTAAAAATATGTATGTAGAACTATTTTTAAAAAGTCTGTTGAACAGTTTTTTTCACTTTCAAGACTAATTTAATATCATAAAGCACCTCAAATTCAGCCTCAATTACAGCTACTCAACTCCTGTATCAGAGGGGTAGCCGTGTTAGTCTGGATCTGTAAAAAGCAACAGAGGGTCCTGTGGCACCTTTAAGACTAACAGATGTATTGGAGCATAAGCTTTCGTGGGTGAATGCCCACTTCGTCAGACGCATGAAACAACTCCTGTGTTATTTGTACATTTAAACATAACTGAGAAATATGCCAAACACAGTATTATTTGCATTTTTGTTGTTTTTGCAGGCACCCAGAGTACTGGTTGACAAATTTTTATAAATCCAAATAAATAAGTGTCCACTCAGAGACTAAGTCCTGATTTATTACAGAAAAAAACGGTTACCTACCTTTTCGTAACTGTTGTTCTTCAAGATGTGTTGTTCACGTGCATTACACATTTGGTGTGCGTGCGTTGCGTGCACGGATGTCGGAAACTTTTTCCCTCAGCGGCACCCGTTGGGCCAGCAGGGGTCCCCCCCCTCGCCAGAGCGGCGCCCCGCTCTAGCGTATATATACACCTGCCGACCCGACCCTCCCTCGGTTCCTTCTTGCCGGTGACTCCGACAGAGGGGAAGGAGGGTGGGAAGTGTAATGGACGTGAACAAAACATCTCGAAGAACAACAGTTACGAAAAGGTAGGTAACCGTTTTTTCTTCTTCGAGTGATTGTTCACGTCCATTACACATTAGGTGACTCACAAGCTTACCATAGGAGGAAGGTAGGAGTCAAGCAACAATTGATTGAAGCACAGCCCTGCCGACCGCCGCGTCCTCTCTGGCCTGATGATGGACTGTGTAATGGGCTGTGAATGTGTGCACCGACGACCAGGTGGCCACTTTACAGATCTCCTGGAGTGGAACCTGCGCCAGGAAAGCCATCGAGGATGCTTGGGCCCTAGTCGAGTGAGCCCTGATCGCCGGGGCTGGTACTTTGGCGAGCTCATAGCATGTGCGGATGCAAAGCACAATCCATGATGATAACCATTGTGCCGAGATAGGGCGGCCTTTCATTCTCTCCGCAATGGCAATGAACAGTTGTGTCGACTTGCGAAATGGCCTGGTCCGTTCCACATAGAACGCCAGGGCCCTACGGACATCGAGGGTATGCAGGCTGCGGTGGCTCGGGTCCGTACGGGGGTTGGGGAAGAACACTGGTAAACAGATATCCTGCCCCATATGAAATTGCGAGACCACTTTAGGGAGGAATTTGAGGTGCGGTCTCAGCTGCACCTTGTCCTTGTAAAAAACTGTATATGGAGGTTCCAAAGTGAGGGCTCTGAACTCCGACACCCTCCTAGCCGATATAATGGCCACTAGAAACGCTCATGAAACCTTCCATGAGAGGTGCATGAGAGAGCAAGAGGCTAGGGGTTCAAAGGGTGGTCCCATGAGCTTAGTTAGGACCAGGTTACGGTTTCATGTAGGGACCGGCGGGCGTGAGTAGGGGAACACCCTTTCCAGCCCCTTGAGAAATCGGATTACTGTGGGGTTGGAAAACACCGAATGTCCCAACTCTCCCGGGTGGAACGCCGATATGGCAGCCAGATGCACTTTAATTGAGGAGGGGGCAAGCCCTTGATGTTTGAGGTGCAGCAAGTAGTCCAGTATTGATGGGATGGAGGCCTGCAGAGGCTGTATGTGATTAGGCTCGCACCAGTGGGAGAACCTCTTCCATTTGGCAAGGTAAGTCGCTCTTGTGGAGGGCTTCCTACTACCAAGGAGAATTTGTTGGACCTGGTGGGAGCACCTATTCTCCGTAGCGTTTAGCCACAGAGATTCCACGCTGTGAGATGTAGCAACGGTAGGTTCGGGTGGAGTAGGCGACCCCGGTCCTGCGTGATGAGGTCTCGGTGCATGGGTAGGGCAATCGGGGCGGTCAATGACAGTTCCAGCAGGGTCGTAAACCAATGCTGGCGTGGCCACGCCGGTGCGATGAGGATAATCACCGCTTTGTCCCTGCGGGTCTTGAGCAGGACCCTGTGGATGAGCGGGAATGGTGGGAAGGCGTACCTCAGGCTCCCGCCCCACTGAATCGCAAAGGCATCTGCCAATGAGCCCGGGCTGAGGTTCTGGAATGAACAAAACCGAGGGCATTGGCTGTTGTCCTTGGTGGCAAAGAGATCCACTTGGGGAAAACCCCACCTCCGGAAGACTGAATGCAGGACGTCCTTTCTTAACGTCCATTCGCGCATGTGATACGACCTGCTGAGGCGGTCTGCTAACCTGTTTTGAACCCCCGGAAGATATGTTGTCACCAATTGGACTGAGTGGGCTATACAGAAGTCCCATAGGAGGAGCGCCTCGTGACAGAGGGGAGAGGAGGGGGCCCCGCTCTGCTTGTTTATGTAGAACATGGCGGTAGTGTTGTCCGTCAGAACTGACACGCTGTGGCCTTCTATGGTAGTGTGAAAGGTCTGGCAGGCGAGGCGAACCGTCCTTAACTCCTTCACATTGATGTGGAGCAACTTTTCCTTCCTGGACCATAAGCCCTGAGTTCGTAGGTCCACTAAGTGTGCCCCCCATCCCAGGTCTGATGCATCTGTTACTAGCGTCAGGGTGGGCTGCAGAGTAGTGAAGGGGACCCCTTGGCAAACTTGCTGTTGATCGAACTCCCTCCGCTGGTGGCTCGAGACCCAAGCTGGGATTGTCACTACAAGGTCCAAGGGGTCTCTGCTGGGGCAATACGTTTGGGCTAGCCACAGCTGTAACGATCTGAGTCTCAGGCGGGCATGTTTGACTACCTGTGTGCAAGCCGCCATGTGCCCCAAGAGTTGCATACAGCACCTGGCTGTGGTTGTGGGAAATTGCTGAATGGAGGTTACGGCTCTTTGAATGGCCAGGAACCTGGGAACTGGAAGACTTGCTCGTGCCTCCACCGAGTCTACGACTGCCCCTATGAAGTCCAGTCTTTGTGTGGGGATCAGCGAGGACTTGGGCACATTGACC